TCTTTAAGAAAAACGTTGATTGTAAAGATTTTAAACCTTTAAAAATCTCAAAAAACGGCAGAGCACAAATCACATATGCTAACTAGAGCTTTCTGTACAATTTACAGTGCCTCTCAAACCCAAGAAAGTTTAAATTAAAATTAAACAAAAAATATCTCACATAAAATTAATAATTAGGTATATTGTTGCTTACACTTATCTGTTTTTTTTTTTTTTCAATGTCATTTTAGCCCTTTTAAATATCTGTAAATACAATATTTTCTACATAGAAATTTCTAGTATGGATTTTTCATTTACCGAATTACCGGTAAATTTTTTAAATTTACTGGTAAGTTTACCGAATGTTTTTTTGTCAATTTATCGGTTTACCGGTAAATCGGTAAACCGGTATACAATCCCTAGTGGGGACACACGTTCTGTCCTAACCTAACCTATTTTAATAAATTACCATAATTATTACCAACCAAATTATTAGAATAGGTTAGGTTAGGTTTGAACGTGCGTCCCCACTGTTTCCTTTCTTCTCTTTGCTGGAATCAGAGACGAGCTGCCATTTTACCCACCATAGGTAACATTATCCAATTGTGCAGTCTAAAGATTGGTGACACTTTGAATTTCATAGCAATTGGTTTCGGCGACAAGCACACCTATTTGTGGTACATTTATTTGTGGCAAAGATCTTATTTTCACTTTACCAAGTGCCTAGTAGGTAATGTGCGGATTATCTAGATACTCTGCACATTATCTAGGTAATTTGAGAAATGGAACAATTTTCACAACTTTAACAGATCACGCTAGTTAATCTGCAGATTAGCTAGGAATCTGCAGATTAATGAGTTTCGAGCTTTAGCGGTAACATATACAGTAGAGTCCCGCTAGTCAGAACTAATTGGAACCGAGCCCTGTCCGAATAAGCTGAATAATTGAAATAACGCAATAGCAAGCAGTAAAACATGCTTGGTTTTGTCTGGTTTAGATCCAACATTATCAATGATGTCAGTGCCCCACCCTTTATTTCATCTGACTTGAACTCAATAGAGGGCACAAACAGTTAATTACAAAACTTTTTGTTTTTGTTATCATTGTTTACCTTAAAATTATTTTAACTGTAAAAAACGTTGTTTACAATATACAGTCCAGAATTCCAATCAGTTGACTGATGCTACTGTGTGAGTCAGCATGCTTAATTGTGGATGTTGAATGTACTCTTTGCTCTACATTATTTTAGTTTAGTTTAGTCTGCTGCTACAATGGCCACAAAATGGAAACACACAACATGTACGTTGAAAGATAAGCTAAACATTTTGGAAAGGCTGGACAAAAGGTAAAAGTGCAATGAAATTGGTAGTAGAGTTTGAAGTGGACAAAGCCACAATAACTGATTGGAAAAAAACCATACAAAGATCGAGCCATTTTCTACTTCAGAAAAATCAGTTGAAAATCAACAAATAGCAAGGCCCTCAACATTTATCAAGCTTGATGAAGCCTTATTCACATAGTTCACTCAGAAAAGAGAAAGGGAAACACCCCTAAGTGAACCTCTTGTTAAAGAAAATTTCCTCTGCCAACTGAAACATGTTCAGATTAGTGGTGTTCAGACAAGTGGGACTCTACTGTATATATTATTTTTTTCAGGTAGTTGTTTTGACTTACTGTGCCAAATGTGTTTATTACCTAAATTTTGGACACCAAAGTAAAACTGTACAAATACAATGGTAAAATATTTTTAAAATACATTTTATCAGGCAATCAGCCTACAAAAATGCAGAACAAACAAGTATTTTTGGATGCTTCCTAATTTAGATCACATAGCCCATCATTTTGCATCTTTTAGATGTAACAAAATACTTGTAGTTTGTTTGGCCTTGCATTGAAGAATATTGCAATAACAATGGCTTTATGTTTTTTTAGTTTTTAAAGATCTTCCAAAATTTACTTCAAACAAATGTAAAAGACAAAAACAAATACAGATAGTGGTAATAATTCAATGGTTTCAATATTATTATTGGTAGTTTTCTAAGACAATCAGAGTTGCAGATAGTTCATTTTCAATTGCAGATATTTGTTATATATATTTATTAGATTTTTAACATATTATAGATAAAGAATAACTGATGTAAGAGAAAATGAAAATACTGTTATTTAAAATAACACAGAGCAAATTAATGAAAAAAAATTTAAATAGCTAGGTGATGCTTGAGCCTCACAATGTCTATTGAGCTAATTGCTCAATAGACATTGTGAGGTGTTGAGAGTTAAATTGATGTCTCATTTGGTCTAAAATAGTTGACATTTTTGAGATTTCAATTTTTCTGTTAATATATTTGATTTCCTCTTTCAAATGCACTACTTCATTCTTTTGTAATTTGAGTGAGATACTTATTTCTTCAAGAAATGTCTTGATTTTAAAGAAATGTATGACAAATGGAGGCATGACAAATCTTTATGGAGGAAGTGATATAAAACTTTCAAGCAGTAATGAACCGTTCTTGTTGAATTATGATTTTAGTCAGTCAGAACTTATTGTTAGATGTTAGAAGTATATTTAAGATAATGTTATGTTATAGTTATGCTATCAAACAACATTGATTTTAATTTCAAAATAATTTGAAATAAGATCAATTTATATGACATTCCTACCAGAAGGACTTAAAAAAAATTTTATTTATTTATACTTACATCAATTCTTTCTCATTGTTCTAGATTTAAAATAGAGAGCTCCATTATAAATACTTATTTTGGACGCAATACTGAGTTTCTATGAACTTTTTTAAATTTAGTATTTGGCCACTAGATACTGAGGTGTCTGAGCCATTATAGTTTTCAGCTTAGTTTTTCAGTTGGGTCAGAGCTGCTGGAATTTATTATGGGTAATTTCACTCATCTCTTACTATAAGGCATTTCACTGTAAAATTGACCAAATTCACAATGGATATAAAACAATTGCTCCCATTCTTTATCCCAGATAGCCAAGAGCTTAGGAAATTTCATGGTTCTAATTTTATATAAACACAGTATACACCAGGCTATATCTTTCTTAACTACTAAATACAATTGCATCGGAGTTCAGGCAATCGATAGTGGTCAATTTGTCAGTTTGGATGCCATGTACCCAATCCCTATCATTCTTATCATTCATAGGACCTAAGATCTTAAGTCCTATGAATGATAAGAACATTACAAAGTTGTATACAGCCTTAAAATAAAATATCTAGTTAAAATCCTCAAAGTCACTGAGCATCACCAAAATGTGCATGGTGAAACTGTTTGAGAGTTGAAAGAGCTTCCTTTGTTATTAATAATGACTAATTTAATCAATGAAGGATTGTTTAAAAAAAATATATATAATTTTCTTCATTTACAGAATATATAAAAATACTTAATTTGATAATATCTTAAGCATATTTCTGTTTAATGCATTAAACTGGTTATTAAGATCTAATATCATCTTGCAAATAATATCATAAAAACTCATTAAACTTAAAAGCTTATATGACATCAATGAACATATGAAATAAAATGAAACAGCTATCCTACTGAATTATTTAACGAACTTAACATCAAAACAGGACACTACTATAGTTTTATATTTTTAACAGATTACATGTGGTAATAAAAAGTTAAAAAGTAATTCTGTAAAGCTATGATTTGTTTTCAGGTATTCTGGATGAATGCTATAATTTTTCAATGGGAAAAAATATTCTTCTAAAAGTGCTTTTCACAATAATCAATTAAGTTCTTAGTGTAGTGTTTTGCTAGCTATTTAGTGAAAATACACTTACAGATTTAAAGACAATTTTTGTATAAGTTTGCTATTAAAATTTAGATATAGGAGCAATAAGTTTTGGTTCCATGGAGGACTTATCACACACTAATAATGATGTCAGAGTAAAACTATAAATAACTCACAGTACAGCATCAACATTACTGATGACCTCATAAACAAACTACAACAATTAAATATTCATAACAACATTAGATTTGCTTCCCAGGACATAAAAAACATGTATTCTTCAATCACACAACAATGTGTTAGAATGACTCCATTCAAATGACTGCTCAAAATAGCTAACTGAAATAATCATGTTTACCTATCTAATAACTTTTTCAAATCCAAAGGTAGTTACTATAAACAAACAGAAGAGATCCCCATGGATAGCTGTATAGAGCCAAAGCTAGTCAAAATCAGCACAATAAAAATAGACAAAAATATAGTGAGCAGATTTTAAACTTTTATCATTACATGGATGATTGCCTACTTGTTTATGACTACACCATAACTGAAATCAATCAGTTTCTAAAACATCAATACCTTTGACCAAAATATAAAATTTGAATTAAAACTCTAAAAATCTACTAGTTAACCTTCCTAGACATTTTAAGCACTATACTAGACAATAGAATTAAAATCAATTGATTTATAAAACAATGCAATGTTAAAGTAATAAATTACAACTCAGAGATCCCTTTATACATAAAGAAAAACACATTCAACCTCCTTATTAATAATATTAAAAATAGAACAACAGACACTACAGATCAAAATTTCGAAATAAATGATATTATCAAACTATATTTGTTAAATAATTACCCCAAATTCACCTAGGTAGGTAGGTAAATTATAAAAAAAATACATTTCAGAACACTACTTCTCCAGCAAAATCGTATAAGGTTCTGTATGTCAAACAAGTTTTTCAAAAAATTCAAAATAAATTCAAACAATTTAATATTCTTATTGTACCTGTCCATACAAACATTAGCAAAAATTATTAATCAAAAATAATACTATTATCAACATTTTTCAATACTATTATAAGTTTTCCAGTAGTTGTAACCACAGTTAGATTAGTGAAACTAATAGAAAATTAAAAATACAATTCAAACAACACATTAATATTTTTATATCCAAATTGTAATATAAATGCAAAAAGCAAATCATCAATTTGCTATTAAAATTCATAAAATACCAAAACAACAAACAATAGGTTTTGGAAATCAGTGTAAAATTTTCATTTGGAAATTTTGGTGTTGTCTTATAAATTATGTGTAACATTTGTAATTTATTATTTTAAATTTATTCTGTTAAGTTTCATAAGCAATACTAAGCAATAAGTAACATTTTTATTGAAGTTTTATCTCAAGTTTCTTGTTAAATTTCACTGATTTTTTGAATAATTCCACATTAAAATATAGTCAGTTGATATCAATTAGACAAAAATTTAATCGAATGAATTTTTGAAAAAGTGATAAAATGTTAATGCATATGAAGACTATATATTCATATTTTTAACTTATTTTAAGTGAATTTACAAAAAAATGGAAATTTAGTTATTATGGTTATTAAAAATTTTTCTTTTTAATTTAATTTTTCCTTATTCATTTAATTATTTACTAGAAAAGTATTTCTATACAATATGAGTTTCAAATAAAATGCATACAAAAAGTGTTCTGTAATTAATGTCAAATTTACCGAATAGGTTCCTTCTTGCATTTGATGGTCATCATCATAATCATCTGTCTGTGTGCCCTCGTCACCTTCGTCATCATCCATATCTTCTCCTTCATTAAAGTCATCTCCTTCTTGCTCATCGTAACTCTCTTCCTAAAAAAGAAAAATGTTTATTAAATTCTTTATACTATTGCACATATATAAATTTTTTCAAAATAATTTGAAAAGTTTTATTTTGTTTGTTTTTTTTAACATCTATTTTATAACCAAATACTAGATAATGAAGTTCTTGGTTTGAATAATAAAGAACACTAAATATAAAAACTTAATATTTACTCTTTACTAACTGTAGTTGTTGTATAATTATTATATTTTCTATTTATTACCTTTTGTTTTTCATCATCACTTTCTACAATAATAACTTCTTCTTCGTCGGTAGGAATTTTAACTTTGGCTGAAACCGTCGGTATAGAATCTATGAATAATTATCATCTATAATACCCAATTTAATATTGAACTGAATTATTAAAATAATAATTTTAATAAGAAATTATTCATCAAAACATTTATAAAAATCCAAATCACTACAATAAAGATTAATGGATTGCCTTCTAGTCATAATTCATTGTCACATTTAATATATTAGAGTTATACAGTAACTCAATAATATTAAAATAAAAAGTTTTTGTGGAGAAATTTGCAGTTACAGTCAAAACTTGGTTTTTGAGCACAATTTGTTCCTAAAAGTTGTTCTAAAACCAAAACAAAATTTCCCATAAGAAACAATATAAAATGAATTAATCCATTCCTGGCCCCAAAATCTGTTAAATATGTCAAACACCAGTATGTACTAATGAGAGATAATAAAATATATTATATTTAATTATAAATTTTTATTTAATTTGACTTAAACACTTTTAAACAATTCCTGAATGTCATTTATATTATGTGAATGTCAATTAACATGGTTCTTATTAATTAATTTGATTTAAATTCAACTGCAGCCCATACCAAAATACAGAAGTAGCATCTACCCTGCATGCACATTGTAATTAAATTTAAATAGCAACATCATTGATGATTTGTGTCGTGATGTCTAATGATGTAAGACAATCTCAGTGTCATTAAATTCTGAATCAGTAGTCCTGTTGTTGATTGGTTGGGCCGTTCACTTTCTTTAAAACAGGATGTATAGGAGTTGACTATCTGTAGCCAATTCTTGCTGAGTAGCTTGTTCAACAACTAAATATCATATGGCAACCACTGCAATTATGAGTTCGTAATTCTGTTCATAAACTGATTGTCTGCAACCTGAGGTTTGACTGCAGTAATGCTACCTTGAGGTTGCAACCTGAGGTAGTATTATATTCTATTAATTACAATGTTCCCAAGCATTTAGAATAGAATTACTGTTAAGATGTATAAAATGCTGTACAATAAAAACTATATGTATATATTTTGCCTGAGCAAAAAATTAAAACAAACCTTCAAGTTATTTCATATTTCTAACCTTTCTATTATATTATATTATTATAGTATTTGATTTATATTTACAAAGGTTATATTACATAAGAGTTTATTATGTCAAGTGCCTACTCTAACACATTTTAAAAATTCTTTAAATTGTGTACAGTAGAGGAGCAAATTCTTTATAAAATTTATACCTTCTGCCTCTGCCTGACTACTTATTAACTTTTTAACCGTTCCCTGATCAGAGAACTTTTCTTGCTCTGAAGAAACATCACTGGTAATTGGCGTTTCGGACTTTCTATCGGTAATGGTTTCTGTACTAGAAGGCTGACTCATCACTACTGCAATATTGATACTTCCGGAACTAGATTCGGGAACCTCCGATGGTAACTGCTGAGTTGTCTGGCTTCCTTCAGACTTCATACGAATACGTTTATGAGGTAAATTATGCTCTGGCGATTCACTATAAATAAATATCCAAATAAATTAATATTAATATATGGTACATACATAGTTTATAATATAATACTGTTGCATTTAAAAGTCCAACATACCCATGACTAGCTAAATCATCTCGCTGTCTTTTTACTGTAGGAACAACTACTTGAGTTTGTGTAATGTTGCTAGTTCCAGTTGAAAATCCTGAAGGAGATACAATAACAGAGGGTGATGCAGTTGTATCAGTGATCTCTATCTGTTCTGAGACATCTTCTGTAATCAATCAAAAATAAATTTTAGAAAACTACTTTATGCCAGCTATTTAGAAAAAAGAAGTTTATATCTAATTTTTGCATATTTGGTCTATCTTAAATAAAATTATATAGAAAATAAAGTTAGAAAGTTTCAATCTAATTACTTTCAACAGTCTAACTTCTAAAAATGTCTTAAAGACAAACAAACTTTATCTCATGACATAATTTCCCACAAATTGGTCAAAAAAGTATCTTTACTTTGTGAATTCATATAAGAGAGTGCCACACTACTTAGTATCTTATAGTAACTACAGAACCTTAAATGACAAAAAAAATCCAGCAACCAGTTGTTTAACTTTCCCAACATTTGGTGGTGCCATCTGTTATGATATTTTAGTGAACTTCTTATATTTTTAACTATTACAAAATGAAAAAAAGCTTAATTTTGAGGGTAGAGACGTTTTATAAAAAGTTGTAAATGCTAATAACGAGTAAAATCGCCATTAAGTCCAACCCTACTGGAGATACACACGACCCCCTTGACCACCAAAATTTAATAGCATCAATCTCCCTAATGTACAGCGTCCTTGCAAAATTTCAGAAATTTTTTGACAAAAAGCATGGGAATTATTAAGCTTCAAACAGGGTGAACATAATCGGGCTCCCCATACACTCACTAACATCCATATATACATACAAAAAAAAAAACCCAAATGTTTTTGCATTTCTCAACATTTTGTGAAGACCACCATTTCCCCCCACCAAAAATTGTTGTTATTGTATACATATATTTGTATATTGTTATTCGCATTATCTGAATGATTTTAGTTTAATCACTTTATTCTAATCCTTTGCTAATAACGTATTTGCTTTAATTAATTAGTTAGAAATTTAATTTTATTGTATTTTAGGCTCTATGTATAATTTATATCCTCTTTTCTTCTTTCAACCCACATCTTGAAGATGCCAAGATTGTTTATATTTTGACCAAAATTGTAAGAGGAAATTTGCCTATTTTTCCAATTTTAGGAACTTCCCTATAGAAATTTCAAATAATATCAACTTAGAATGATTTAGAGAAACAAATTAGAATACAAAGTTTATTAAATAGAGCAATAAATCTCACAATTGTGCGAGGAAAAGATAAGAGGGAAATTACTTAATTGAATTAATTTGTAAAAGAATAAAACTTAAAGGAAGTGGGAAAACCCCACTTCCCGTTTTCCCCCTAACCGCCGATCATACCTTCGAACACTGTTCCAAGGTACGAGAAGTACAAAGCTTAACAGTAACCAAAACAATCAAAGAATAATGATGGAAACTATCAGTGATGACGTCCACGGAGTTTGATGTTATCACCATCTAAAGTCAAGGAAGAGTTAAAACGGTTTTGCTATGGTAATGACTCAGCTCAAAAGTCAAGGAAGAGTTAAAACGGTTTTGCTATGGTAATGACTCAGCTCAAAAGTCAAGGAAGAGTTAAAACGGTTTTGCTATGGTAATGACTCAGCTCAAAAGTCAAGGAAGAGTTAAAATGGTTTTGCTATGGTAATGACTCAGCTCAAAAGTCAAACCAATAATAATAGTAAATCATATAATGACTCTCCTGTGCTGAGAGGTGTATAAAAGAGGCCCAAATGCAGGCATCAGAGAGCTCCTCGGCAGACAACGGTAGACAGCATCGGCCTTGCCAGACTCCCAATGAACCATACATATGAGGAAGGCATCAACGGCAGACAATAACAGTAGACATAAGTGGACTCGTCCCGCAATAATCGCAATGAAATTTTGACTAGAAGCAAATGCCATTTACTGGCAGACACCAGCGAAGGGCCAAACAAAGGAAAGAAGGAACTAGATCAAGAGACTGACCAGCCCTACAAGAGAAGACAGCTCTCTTTTTCCTGGTATGTTGTAGTTTGGATACTCTCCTGTTAGGCAGCCCTCTCGTTTTATAAATAGAAATAGGCAGATTTCTTGAATTGGATTTTAAGAATGTTATCCAGAACCTAATTTTCAATAATAAACTCTTGTTATTTGTATTTGTCTTTGCATTCATCCTCCTGACAAGCTCTTTCCTGGACTTTGGAGTGACTCTTACCCTCACGCCTTAACTATCTGTATGTGTCAAAATCGGCAATGTGTCCAACAAAATACACCTGGTGGCAGAAACCTACCCTAACTTAATGTAATCTAACTTTTGACGGCCCCCTGACCCTCACAATTTTAAGGTTCTGAGTCCAAAAATATTAAAATCTGGGAGGGTCATTTTTTGACCAATCACATACTTTCCCTCTTATGTATAACAGCTGGAAAGTAAAAAGGGTATACATCAATAGCCTTACTGAAAAAGCCTATGCTTGAGAGCATAAATAAAATGGATGAAAGCTACTTATGTAATATGTGCTTTCATTAAACACTAAAAAACCTTTATACATGATATAAGAAAAATCTTATGAACTTATGCACTTTCCTTGGTACCAACTCACAGATATGGCTTTTAAGAAATCGTCACAATAACCACAAATAAAAAAACGCATTTAAATTTCTACTCATTCTAACCTTGTAAATTTCAGTTCTCTCCATGTATTTAAATGGCTTTGTCCTGGGTTTGGTGTATATGTGCTCTGTCTTGATGGACTTGCACTTGATGGTTGGTAGCATACACTGGCATGACCCTTTTTACTGTGTTTAAAGAACACAAAGAATTTATGTTCAAGGAGTGTACATTGCCTCTATGAGCTCTAACTCATTGCCAACTCTATTATCCAATACAAGAAAGTATTTAGGGCCATTTGGATCTTTAGCATTCTTGAATAATGAGTAGATGGTAGGGTTTCTTTTGTAAGCTATTCTGCAGTTATGTGCTCTAGTAATTTCTTTTTAATGGCCAAAAGTTGCCTGACATATTTAACTATTTTGAAAGGTTTATTTTGGTTCCTGTGGCTGCTATTTTCAGACTATATTGGCGTATTAAACTTCTATGATCTTTTTCATACCTGTGTTGTATTACAATTCACTCGATGTAGCTGAGTTCCTTCTTTCAATCAACTGTGTTGGACAAATGCAGGAAGGTTCTTTTGATTAAAGTTCCAAAAGGTGATGATTTAAATTCCAGTCCAGGAATCTAAAACATAGCTATCCTCTAACAATGTAATAGTAGTCAAGGTAGCTAAGTCTAACAATATTGTACTAATGAAAAAGGACACATAAGATAGAGCATGCTAACATACAGTACATCAAAGATATTGAGTATGAGAAGGCTACACTATACTACAGTCTGCACCTGTCTGTCAGTATGCTAACTATAGTCCTCTAATAATAGCCACAGGAACCAAAGTAAACTTTTCAAAACGGTTAAATATGTCAGGCAACTTTCGGCCATTAAAAATAAATTACTAGAGCACATAACTGCAGAATAGCTTAGAAAAGAAAACCTACCATCTACTCACTATTCAAGAATGCAAAAGATCCAAATGGCCCTAAATACTTCCCTGTATTGAATAATAGAGTTGGTAATGAGTTAGAGTTCACAGAGGCAATGTACACTCCTTGAACATAAATTCTTTGTGTTCTTTTTAAACACAGTAAAAAGAGTCTTGCCACAACAGCTTTAGCAGAGTACGCTACCAACCATCAAGTACAAGTCCATCAAAACAGAGCACATATACAGTAGTACCCCAGGATACGAACATTTCAGCATACGAAATTTTCAGGATACGACATGAAATTCGAACATAATTTTGCTCCATGGTACGAACAAAAACTCACCATACAACATTACATTAGTTTGCAGTGCCACTGCCATGATCACATGTTCCTTCTGTTCATCAGTCTCAGTCCGTGTGTTTGCTTTGTCGTAGAAGGATCTCACTCGATAAAGGAAATCTTGAGGTATTATCAGAAAGTGACTGATTTTATTGAAAAGAAACATCCCAAAAAGGTTCACACTGGCCGTATTGCTGCTAAGAGTAATGACATTTGCCTAAGTCATTTTAGAAACATTTTAAAAAGTAGGCAAATAGTTTGGATAGATATTTTACCAAGTGACCTCTGTCCAGTGAAAGTGATGGTGGAAGTGAAGGAAAGAAAGCAAAAAGCAGTGAATAAAAAATTTTAAAAAATATATAAAACAGAAAAGATAAAAAAATTAGTGTTAAGTTATTTTTGAAAATGTAGTTCACTTCACGCCAGCCAGTTTAGAAATTAAAATTTGGTCAATTCAAAAACAAAGGTATTCGATTTCGCCTGAAGACGACGGTTGTAAACTGTTGAAAGTACTAGCGAGCACGTCTGAAATTTAACAAATTGCTGTCAATAACGCCGCAACACAGAAGTGTCATATTTTTAGTTAAGTTATTTTTCAGTTATTGTTACATTATGTTATGTAAGTTAAGTTTTAGTATCATTTCCCTTTCCCTCTCCTCCGCCACCAGTTTACACCTCCACCATTGTCTATCCTCAAAGATAAAGTGCAAATAAAACTACATTTTTTTTATTTTTTTTATCAATTATTATTCTATTATGGTTATTTATATATTTACAATTACAAATGCATTTTTCAGTGTTTTCTTTACAAAAGTTTTTTTTTCAATGTACAAGTTAGCTTTAATTTGAATGTGTTTTTTGTGTTGGAACAGATTACAGTAGAGCGTTGTTTATCTGAAAGTAAATTTTCCTAAAGAACTCCAGTCGGCAAATTTAAATTTTCACCAGTGCTGTGGCGCTGCAATCTTTGGCTATGTCTTGGGCTACTCAAATATTTTACGTTTTTGATACTAAATTAACTTCTGAAGTATAATTTTTTATCGTTTTTATATTTTTCAATATATTTATTTTTTTTGTACAAAATAAAAAAAATAATTTTTAACAATATAATAGTCTTCGTTACGCTTAACATCGATGAAAATTCAACGCGAAGTGACACACAACAGAGAAAAATTTCAACATGGGATAGGTTAATATATTTTTTGTACATAATCGGTTATCCGAATAACCCCAGTCCCCAATTGATTTGGATAAACGACGCTCTACTTTATTTGGTTTTACATGTAATCATGTGGGGAAAAATGATTCACCTTACGACATTTTCATAATACGATCTCAGTTTAGGAACAGAATAATTTTGTATCCTGAGGTACTACTGTACATCAAACCCAGGACAAAGCCACTTAAATACATGGAAAGAACTGAAATTTACAAAGGTAGTAGAAGTGCATCAACTATAAATTATAAAGAAAGAGAGACTGTTTCACATGCATAAAAATTTATATTTGAAATAACTTAACAGATTACTTGATATACAAGTGGTACCATCCAATCAAATAACTTTTCTTTTTATTCAAATTTGTAAATTCTATTTTATGTTCAACAATAATTTCATTGTAAATCGGATGATGGCTGATAAACTCAGTTGAAAGCATTTGTTTTAGTGAAATGTTCTTCCTTTTTAGTTGAATCTATGGTTACTGTGATTTCTTACTTATACATCCATCCTTTGATTGTGTTTTTTTACAAATATGGCTTTATTTATTTAATAACATTTAAGTTAATTTTAAGTCTAAAAATCATTTTTGCATCTTATCTTTGGCAAACTTCATTGGATACTTAAGCATTTTTTCATTTATGAAAAACTAAACATAATTCATGAATAAAATTTAAACTGCATGTTTCACTATATGAATGGAAATTAATTAGACTAAATAAAAACAAAAAAAAATTTGAGATGTACACAGTTTAGATTTACACAATGCTGTTTTAGTTTTAAATATCATTGCAATCAGAAATATGTACTTTACCTGCAATTTCAACTCTTGGACTAACTAGAGCCGTAGCTGGAGCCATAGACGAAGTGATACTAGACAAAGGCGGTAATTCTTGTAAGGGAATGGATTCTTCTACTTCACCCATGCAGATCACTATAACATATAAATTTTTATACAGTAAGACCCCACTTAATGCAGAAGATGCATTTCTAGACAACAAAGCGTTAAACGAAACAGTGTTAACCGAGATAATTTTAACATAGAGTAAATAGGGAAAGGGGAACACGCGACCAAAAATAACACTAGAAACCAGCAGTAACTCTTCAATATCCTGCTTGTCTACATCTCCTAGTCCTGCTGTATTGATTAGGTTGACCAAATTGTCAACCTAATCGATACAGCAACAGGCACTTCTTGTTGCAAATTCTTGGATACATTCAGCCATAATTTCTTCCACACTCCATTCATGCATTTATCGGTTAATTCTTGCCAAGCAAAGTCTATATTTCCTATGGCATCCAAGATGTTATATTTTTCCAAAATTGCAAAGCATAGATTTAAGAAAGTACAGCACTATGATGAATTGCCATCTTTTGCTGATGGGTTTGTATTTGGGAATAATTGTATTATATACGAATCAGTCAGATGCTGCAATAATTTGAACCAGTGTAAATTTAGAGCCTTTTTTTTTGGCTTCAAGCAGACTGCATTATATCAAGTCAGCATTAAGCAGGATCTTACTGTATATTATACGCAAAATATAATTTAAAAACTAATAATAGTAATAATAATAGGCCCTAATCACAGATAAAATAATCAACCACAGTAAACCAGACATCAGCACATAACCATAACAACAGTTTTTATGTAGATATGCCTTGACTTCAGTCCAGCATAGCATTAGGCCTCAGTCTAAACTAACAAGCCACCAATATTATAATGACAATTATGTTTCTTATTTATAATACATTTCCTGGCATGCTTCACACCTATTGCATAAAACATATATTTCATATAAATTTGGAAATTTATATAAAAATTTTGTCTACTATTCTCTTTGACTGCAACTTCTAAACAATATGCTAGATTAATTAAATTATCATCATCTAGAATTCCTGGAGTCATAACTTAAAATAAAACAAATACATAATTTAAAGAGAGATTTACAATTATCAATAAAAAGTGTAAAAAAACCTCATCAGTGTAACAGTACAGAAAGTCATCTCCAGTGTTTAGAAAGATATGAATAGAAAATAATAAAAAAATAAATAAATTATACAAAGAACATTCTCATTTGTCCATTTGAATGTACCTAGTGCCAAATTTTGTCAAAAATAATGCCAACTATTTTAGCTATTATGATAATACAAATGCTTTCAATATTCATGTGAGGGACAAACAGACCCCCCCATTAAAGTGTTATTTTGGACTTTAATTATTCAGAAATTCAATCGTCTAACTTCGAGTGTTTTATCAAGTTAGGCTAAAAGCCATAAAAATTTATTTCCCACGAAGTTGGTTCCTGGTTGAGAAGGATCCAGCTAGTCAGTGATGTGTCACCCAGAACTTTCGATAAAGTGCCCACATTGGATGCCAGACTCTTAACAACCGCCTGACCTCATGGGAAAAACCCAAGAGGAATAACAAGGGAGAACGAAAAAAATACCACTAAAAATCAGTCATCTTCCAAAGTTCCTCCACAAAAGTCGTCCTCAAGGATTAATAATATAAGTAAACAATGCCTTTTTTAACAGTCCAGCAAAAACATTTAATTCTCTAATAATGTTTTCGACTGATTTTAGCAGCCTTCATCAGTTACTCCAATATCAAAAAGAACAAAGTATTCGAAATTTACATAATACAAAATTAAATAAAATTAAATTAAACTGCGGTTGCATAGAACAACGAAAAAAATAAAATAAAAATAAAAATGCATAAATAAATAAATAAAAATAAACAAATAAACCCAAATAAATAATAATGCCGTCATCATGGATACATATATTAACTTGTGTCAGTGTAAAATGATTTCCAAGCAGTTGCCAAACCTTCTGCATCTCTGTGATTGATACATTCCGTGGCTATATGCGCTTTATGTATTTCTATTTTTTCAAGATGCTTCATTGCTTGTAATGATCTCATGGCCCTAACGATCGCCGCACGATCCCAGTATACGGTTACATCCTGTTGTTTGGCAAATGCCACCAGAACAGTACTATCAATGTTCCTACCTACAGAATATTTATGCTCATTTATCCTTTGTTAACTCCGCATAGTTGCCCCAACATACACGAGGTCAGAATTAAACCGACAATCTTTTATAGGTATAGAATATATACCCGTCAAGCTATTTCGATTATCCTTCTTCTTGTCATTCCTTAACATTCTATACACAGTTGGATTGCGTCGATATATTATTCGTAACTTATTTTTATTGGAAACTTTCCTAACTATCTTGTTTAGAAATGGAAAATAATTAATTACCACATTTTTTCTTTGATCAATTTTGGGAGGCTGCTGGTTTTTCTTCTGAATTCTTTTAATAAGTGCCTCAATCTCTTTTCTGTGGTATCCCTGTTGCGCTGCTGCCTTTTGTATGTAATCTAATTCCTCATATGTATCATATAAACTCGTGCAGTGGGTGTATGCTCTTTTAATCCATGCTCTAAATGCCACATATTTAACGTGCTTAGTATCTGTCGAATTCTTTGGGATGATAATAGGTTGATAAACCGGTTTGCGATATATGCCTGTCCATATTTCCCCTTCCTTACAAGTAATCAATATATCCAGGAAGTTAACATTCTTCTCGCTTTCTTGGTCCAAACCCAAAGTCAACCCATATGGGTTATCGTTGATCTTGTCCATAAAATTCTGTGTGTTGTCATCATTTCTAAAGATGGGTATGATACTTCTTTCGAGCTGACGTAATACTAATTCACTTAGGACAGCCGACATTGGGCTGCCCATGGGGACGCCCTTTCCTTGAAGATAGGTCTTCCCTTCAAAAATGAAAAACGAAGTATTACAAACCAAATTGGCCAGTTCTAAAATGTGTTTGTAATATTTCCTAGGATTTTTAATGTTGGTAAATAGAAAGTCCCTCAAAGCACAAAAACAGGGTGCTAATTTTATTGAAGGGTATAATGCTTTGTAATCCATTACTGTCATATATTCCTTGTCCTTAAGCGTAATCTCCCTTAGTTTCTGCACCAGTTGTATCAAACTTTTTATGGAAAAGGGGTACTCCTGAATTTTATTTCGTATAAACCTGACCAGCTGCTTTTCAATAGGGAAAGTAGGTAAACTGCATTTTTCTATAACCGGGCGTAGTTGACAGCCTGGCTTATGGGTTTTTCCAAAAGCGAAAATTTTTGGTGTTCTTGGAGCTCAAATGACAGAATTCTCCATGTTTAATAGATTTGCTAATGGAGTGAGGGTGAACCTCTTGACCCTTTGCTGCAAAGATTCTAAATAGTTTTCAGGAGCATCAAGACATTCTGTATTTCTGATGTATTCCTTTAACTTATTGTTGTAGGAATCTCACTTGATAAGTACTATACTTTAGACTTATTCGCTTTCATAAGTACTATATCCTTTCTCTGCATCCATTTTCTTGCTTCTTTTATGCAGTGGTGGAAGCGTCTTGTGTTCATGTTATCCATTTTTTCTTTTTCAGTTCGAAATCTTGTTTGCCATCTGACGTAATCCTGACTCGTGGCATCCATACCCTTTATAATAATCTCAATATTAGGAATGACGCTTTCTGGGTGTGCTGTGGGATTAGGAGCGTAGAGTGGGCTGTATTTTAAAGCCTCTAACAAGCAATGTGGCGGCATAATATCATCCCAGGCTGTTATAAATGTGTTCTCTTTTCTGCATGGCCTCACGTTCTGGCACTTAAATAACCATAAAAGCTTCTTAACATAGTTGCGTTTTAAATTTATTTCAACTGAGCAAGATAAAACTATTACCCTGTTGCTGATATCTGTTAGAAGTGCTTGGTCTTTTCCATAAAGATCATTTTCAAAACTTATGAGATTGTGTAAAAGCCTATAATATTGCCTCCTCGTAGTTCTGATAGCCTTGTTGAGGCAAAGATACCTTAGTTTCGGTAACAACGAGTCACAACCCATTGGAAGTCTGATGCGATATATAGACATTGGGAAAACTCCATTCATACGGCATTGCGAAAGGAATTCGAACTTTGTTCTTGCCTTGCAAAGTTTATTAAGAACCATTCTTCTATATAGTTTGGCCGGCATAGTCATTAATAAATAATCAAAAAATCTTACTGGAACTAAATCAAATAAATAATATAAGTAAACAACGCCTTTTTTAACAGTCCAGCAAAAACATTTAATTCTCTAATAACGTTTTCGACCGATTTTAGCGGCCTTCATCAGTTACTCCAATATCAAAAAGAACAAAGTATTCGAAATTTACGTAATACAAAATTAAATAAAATTAAATTAAACTGCGGTTGTGTAGAACAACGGAAAAAAGTTAAATAAAAATAAAAATGCATAAATAAATAAATAAAAATAAACAAATAAACCCAAATAAATAATAATGCCGTCATCATGGATACATATATTAACTTGTGTTAGTGTAAAATGATTTCCAAGCAGTTGCCAAACCTTCTGCATCTCTGTGATTGATACATTCCGTGGCTATATGCGCTTTATG